TAAGAAATTAGAAAATAACAAATAACATGCTGAATTGCTAGCATGTATTGTGGGTGTTTCAGCACAGCATAGCTGACTTTCATGACATAGTAAAGGTTAACCAGTTTAACCAGCTGATGGAGGTACTATAAGGATACCAGGATTTTGTCTGCTTCATGTAAAGGAACTTGGTTCGGCATCTGATCACATGGAGAGTGGATCAGTCTGTGGTTTTGGATAATAACGTGATGAATGCTGAGAGCAATACAGTATCTTTATGTGTAGATATGTTCAAGGCTTTAGGTGGAGGATTTAGGTCCAAAAACTGCTAACCAACAGATAGTGGTGTGAAGCTTAGTCATGCAACTCTGTACATCAATAAAAGCCTATAAATAATACTTTTCAGCGGCCCATGGAGAAACTGACTTCATAGATAAGCAAAGGCACAGATAAATTGACTTTTTGCCATTTTTTGTCTCACCTACAAAGTGCAAATGGAATATGATGATGAGTGCAGCTAAGTGGGGTTATTCCTAAATTGTACAGTATGCGAACCCTAATAATAAACTCCTATTATTTGCTGCCTTGCCAATCGCCCTATAGCTATAGGGTGGCCGCTTTGTGCAGAATCATGTACATATACGTGATTCTGCATTTCCAGGTAGGGGGGCTGTCAGTCAGTGATTCGATGGAGAAACTGACAGGAGAAAGATTTGTGAGTTTAAACAACACAGATCTCTCTCCTGTCAGTGGGGACATTCTGGTTTGCAGGAAGATACAAACCAGCACATACCCTAGTAAAACACCACTACAGTACATAGTTAAATCACTCCCTAAAACACACTTAACCCTTTGATTGCCCCAGATGATAACCCCTTCCTGCCCAGTGTCATTAGTACAGTGTCAGTGCTTTTTATTAGTACTGATCACTAAGGTCACTGGAGATGTTAGTGGCAGTTAGTCAGTACCCAGCTAGTCTCAGTTAGTGTCAAAATGCCCACTGTACTATTGCAGTCCCACTATACAGGTGAAACTTGAAAAATTAGAATATTGTGCAAAAGTTCATTTATTTCAGTAATGCAACTTAAAAGGTGAAACTATTATATGAGATAGACTCATTACATGCAAAGCAAGATAGTCCAAGCCGTAATTTGTCATAATTGTGATGATTATGGCTTACAGCTCATGAAAGCCCCAAATCCACAATCTCAGAAAATTAGAATATTACATGCAATCAATAAAAAAAGGATTGTACATAGAACAATATCGGACCTCTGAAAAATATAAGCATGCATATGTACTCAGTACTTGGTTTAGGCCCCTTTTGCAGCAATTACTGCCTCAATGCGGCGTGGCATGGAAGCTATCAGCCTATGGCACTGCTGAGGTGTTATGGAAGACCAGGATGCTTCAATAGCGGCCTTCAGCCCTTCTGCATTGTTCAGTCTCATGTCTCTCATCTTTCTCTTTGCAATGCCCCATAGATTCTCTATGGGGTTCAGGTCAGGCGAGTTTGCTGGCCAATCAAGCACAGTAATCCCACGGTCATTGAACCAGGTTTTGATGCTTTTGGCAGTGTGGGCAGGTGCCAAGTCCTGCTGGAAAATGAAGTCAGTATCCCCATAAAGCTTGTCTGCGGAAGGAAGCATGAAGTGCTCCAAAATCTCCTGGTAGACGGCTGCGTTGACCCTGGACTTAATGAAGCACAGTGGACCAACACCAGCAGATGACAGGGCTCCCCAAATCAACACAGACTGTGGAAACTTCACACTGGACTTCAAGCATCTTGCAGGGTGTGCCTCTCCATTCTTCCTCCATACTCTGGGTCCTTGGTTTCCAAATGAGATGCAAAAGTTGCTCTCATCAGAAAAGAGGACTTTGGACCACTGAGCAACAGACCAGGTCTGTTTTTCTTTAGCCCAGGTAAGACGCTTCTGACTTTATTGTTCAGGAGCCGCTTGACAAGAGGAATACAACATTTGAAGCCCATGTCCAGGATAGTCTGTGTGTGGTGGCTCTTGATGTGAAAGTCCCCAACACTTTTGAATGGCCTTTTCCTGACAATCCTTTCTAGGCTGCGGTCATCCCTGCTGCTTGTGCACCTTTTTCTTCCACACTTTTCCCTTCCACATAACTTTCTATTAATGTGCTTTGATTCAGCACTTTGGGAACATCCAACTTCTTTTGCAATTACCTTTTGAGGCTTTCCCTCCTTATGGAGGGTGTCAATGATGGTTTTCTGCACAACTATCAGGTCAGCAGTCTTTCCCATGATTGTGATTCCTACTTAACCAAACTGAGAGACCATTTAAAGGCTCAGGAACCCTTTGCAGGTGTTATGGCATATTTAGCTGATTAGAGTGGGACACTTTGAGCCTAGATTATTGCACCTTTTCACAATTTTCTAATTTTCTGAGATTGTGGATTTGGGGTTTTCATGAGCTGTAAGCCATAATCATCACAATTATGACAAATCACGACCTGAACTATCTTGCTTTGCATGTAATGAGTCTATCTCATATATCAGTTTCACCTTTTAAGTTGCCTTACTGAAATAAATGAACTTTATTATTCATTGCATTGCATTACTTTGATATTCTAATTTTTCGAGTTTCACCTGTAAGTCGCTAATCGCCACGATTACTAGTACAAAAAAAAATAATTCCAGTATATATACCATTATTTGTAGACTCTATAATTTTCATGCAAACCAATTAATATACATTTATTGTTTCTTTTTTTTACCAAATACATGTAGCAGAATACATTTTGGCCTAAATTTATGAAGAAATGTAATCCTTGTATTTTTTTATTTGATATGTTTTTTCATTTTTCAAGTCATTTTTTGTACTATCAGGGTCTTATCTTATCAGGGATAAAAAGTGAAAATGCACATGTACTGCAGAAATGTGCAAATATTTATGATAAATTAAAAACAAGTATTTTTAAAGTAGACAAACCCAACCTGCCTATCACTCATCGCCTAAACTACACCCCTCATCCAAGGTCATTATTTATATGTGTGGTATAGCCACAGTCTGCTTCAATGTTCATATATTGTCCACACACCACAATCTTCCATATTTCTGGCAGTGCCTGTACAGTAAACCCTCATAAGCCACTTAGGAGACAGCTCTATACAACTTTATGAGGATGCACTGTACTGTGCAGGCATGACCAGTCACACAGAAGATTTTGACCCAGGATGAAAAAATTATAGAAGGCCATGGATACCCTGTTCAGGTAAGTAATCAGCTATGGGGAGTGTTAGTTTAAGTCAGCTTGGCTAGGCAGGGTAGGCATGGTTATTTTGATTTAGGGGTTAGGGTAATGCTTAAAATTAGGTGTTAGGCTTAGTTTAAATGTTAAGCTTAGGGGTAAAGCCAAGTTTTCAAGGATTATGATGTTAAAGTGCAAACTGTTTTCTTTAGGTTATGGACATTTAAATATTTACAAACTACATGCTTAACCTCCCTGGCGGTATGATTATTTCTAGAGATGAGCGAATTATTCAAAAATTTGGTTCGGCTGATTCGCCGAATTCGCCGAATAAATTCGCTTCGAGCCGAATATATTCGCTGCGAATTTAACTTATAAAAAGGGTGTTCTAGCTTCAGAGAACCTTTATATTAGTGTAGAACACTGTACCTTTAATTTAAATGCCCTTGGGAGTCTGCTGGGGAAGAGAAATAATACTGTCAGTCAGTATGACATGCAGATGAGTGCCGTCGATCTTAGAATCACCGCACACTTCACTCATTTGGGCAGTCACGGGGCCAAAACCAGAGTGTGGAGCCACAGTGTGGCGTGGAGGCAGCAGCAATGGGAGGCCATACAGCACCCTATGACAAAATGGAACCCACCAGCAGCGTGAGGGAGACCTGAAAGTGGCACATGGCAGAGTGTGGCGATGGAGACAGCAGCAATGGGAGGCCGTACAGGGACCCATGACACACTCTGGACCTGGCAGCAGCATGAGGAGGCGGTACAGGGGCCCATGACAGATTACGGGCCTGGCAGCAGCATGAGGAGTCGGTACGGGGCCCATGGCAGATTACGGGCCTGGCAGCAGCATTACGAGGCTGTACAGGGGCCCATGGCAGAGTGGCGGAGCGTAAGCAGCTAAAAATTGAAGGCCATACAGAGTCCTATGTTAAAAAGTCCCCCCAGCAGCAGCGTGGGGAGACGACTATCAAGAGTCCAATGGCAGAGTGGCGGAGCAGAAGCAGCTTCAATTGAAGGCCATACACAGACCTAGGTTTAAAAGTCCCTCACAGTTAATTCCAATAACGAACTCTACTCCTCCGTGCAATCTACTTATGAGACCCTGGGCAGGTCTGGGTCCAATTTGTGGAAGAGACTGGTTTTGTTCAGCCATGCTTGAGCGAGTAATAACAGGTCTGTGCTGCCCTTTGGTGTCTGGCTTAATGCGCACAACACTGAACGTCCCAGCGTTTGTCAACGATTTGCCGTTAAGTGATGCAAACCCGCTGAACCACGTTCATGAGGAGCCGGTACAGGGGGCCATGAATCAGTATGGATCTGGCAGCAGCGTGAGCAGACGACAGAGGCACATGGCGCAGGGTGGCGGTGTAGCAGCATTATTCTGAAGCCATACACAGGCCTAGGTTAAAAAGCGGAAGCCGTCAGCAGCGTGAGCAGACGACACACATGGCGCAGGGTGGCGGTGGATGCAGCAGTATTCGGAAGCCAAACACAGGCCCTCGGTTAAAAAGCGGAAGCCGTCAGCAGCGTGAGCAATGACAGAGGCACATGGCGCAGGGTGGCGGTGTAGGCAGCATTATTCTGAAGCCATACAAAGGCCTAGGTTAAAAAGCGGAAGCCGTCAGCAGCGTGAGCAGACGACAGAGACACATGGCGCAGGGTGGCGGGTGGATGCAGCAGTATTCGGAAGCCAAACACAGGCCTCGGTTAAAAAGCGGAAGCCGTCAGCAGCGTGAGCAGACGACAGAGGCACATGGCGCAGGGTGCAGTGGAGGCAGCAGCAATGGAAGGCCATACAGCACCCTATCACAAAATGGAACCCACCAACAGTGTAAGGAGACCTGAAAGTGGCACATGGCAGAGTCTGGCGATGAAGTCAGCAGCAATGGGAGGCCGTACAGGGACCCATGACACACTCTGGACCTGGCAGCAGCAAGAGGAGGTGGTACAGGGGCCCATGGCAGAGTGGCGAAGCGTAAGCAGCTTAAATTGAAGGCCATACAGAGGCCTATGTAAAAAGTCCCCCCAGCAGCAGTGTGGGGAGACGACTATCAGAGTCCAATGGCAGAGTGGCGGAGCAGAAGCAGCTTCAATTGAAGGCCATACACAGGCCTAGGTTAAAAAGTCCCCCCAGCAGCAGTGTGGGAGACGACTATCAAGAGTCCAATGGCTGAGTGGCGATCCAGGAAGTCAGCGTTTGTGATTGCAGATGCAATGCAGAGATTCTATGAGGTGATGCCGTGGGTGCGAAGAAGATCATATACCGTCGTACTTCCATCCATAAGACGGAACAACCTGCGAACCGGGAGCTTTATTGCCCTGACCCGCTGAGCAGCTTCTGGGATACCCAAGAGGCCCATGGCAGAGTGGCGGAGCGTAAGCAGCTTCAATTAAAGGCCATACAGAAGGCCTATGTTAAAACGTCCCCCCCAGCAGCAAGCGTGGGAGACGACTATCAAGAGTTCCAATGGCAGAGTGGCGGAGCGGAAGCAGCTTCCTAATTGAAGGCCATACACAGGCCTAGTTAAAAAGTCCCCCAGCAGCAGTGTGGGGAGACGACTATCAAGTCCTCCATCTCTCAGCAGTCAGGTGTGAAAATAAAGGCCACCATTTTTGAACGGTAGCGAGGTCCAACAAGGTGGACAGCCAAAAGTCATCCCTCTGTCTGATGGCTTATTATTCGGCTGTCGCTACACAAGCAACCGAGCATGCTATGGGCCATTTGTGCCAAGGAATGCCAAGGGACTCCCCATGGCCATCCATCTCCATACAGCATACTGCCACGGTGCGTCTGGGTCCTTCTGTCTCCTCCTCCTCCTCTACCAGAATGCTCCTGCACCTCCACTCCTGTCCGCTGAATGGAAAAAAAACCACCCATTCTCACTCAATAATTCCTGAGCACAATGTCCTCCTCTACACTCCTCCTCTTCTTCCTGTCCTGCCCCCACAGGGGTCATGTGGCGTTGAAGATCTGTGCGCCACGTCTACCGCACCTGACCAGCCATTGTTAACAAGCATTTGTTTCCCAGGACGTGCAACAGAGGAATGACGTCGTTCATCCCATAAGGTCCTGCCGACTCACGAATAGCGTGGCCAACCCCTCAAAGGGCCTGAGCAAGCGGCAGGTGTCACGCATGAGCTGCCAAATTGGCTGACATCTAAGTTACACAGGGAGTACCTTTATCCGCTTGTAACATCAGGAAATCGGTGATGGCCTTTTGCTGTTCGTAAAGGCGGTCTGAACATATGTACGGGTTGAATTCCACCTTGTTGCAACGTCGCAGATCAGGCGATGCTGTGGAATTCCGTTCTGATGCGCTGCAGGGCTCAAGGAGGGTGTGCTTTGCGGTGTATGAATGCGGCTGGAAATGCATGGCAAAGTTTCCGTGACATTTTAAGGATGTCTATGCAGTGGGATGGTGGATTTTTTTTAGTAAACCGCTTGACAACCAGATTGAACACGTGAGCCATGCTGCATGGCGCCCATGGCACAACCTTCCCTTGACGTCAGAGCATGACACCATGATCTTTCCGTTGGTTCGGTCAAACATGGTTCCGATTTTGAGTATGCGCGGAGACAGCCATCTGTCGAATTCTCTGTTCATTACACACTAAGAAGTTCCTCTCCTGTGTGACTACGTTCGCCAAGGCATACCAGGTGCAAGCACAGACGTAGAACACTGTTGCGCCCTGCACATGTGATATGCCGGTCGGGTTATAATGGGACTTGGCACTGGGGTGATGGCGGATGAGGATCACGTCGGAAGAAGAGGTGGTATAGAGGCGGACATCTTTGCTGGACCAATGACGTGCAAACGTGGATGGCAAAAAGACGGCGTGGACCTGTCCAAGTTTGCTGGTGTCTGCAGTGCCGGCTCCTCACGTTCCACTACCAGATGGGCCGGAAATGACATTGTACTGTCACCTGACCGTATGTTACAGCTCCACACGTCGGCGCTGCCTGTGCACTTTGGCAGGAGACCGACATGCTCAATGACTGGCCCACCATCTCTATCTACAATGTGAATGCAGGGCTGGCACTGACCTTGTTTGGTGAAGAATTTGCCGGGCTTGACACTCTCCGAAGCCGCGTGCTCGCGCACGAAGCCTTCCATTTCTCAGGAAAGGTGCTGAGTCCACCACTTATGAAAGGGAGGGACTGCAGCACCAGCAACTTGGACAGGAGGGGATGGGGGGGAGGGAACGTCGGGACTGTGTTCAGCTTCTTGCAGCCGTCGGGTTGCGTGCTCGCAAACTGTTGTCCTCTTGGAAAACGGAATTCCAAGAAAGGACTGCTGACGGAATCGTGAACGAGGAGTAGCAGGAGTAAAAGGAGCGATCATGAAGTGAGCGCTGAAGATGCCAACGAGCGAGACCAACTCCCCTCATCAGCAGAGGTGTTGGAGCCTTGACTGGCTGGATAGAGGGCGATTGAACGATCTGGTGATGGAGCAAGTAAGCGGAGCGGGTGATGGAGAGCGGCCGGGCTGGGGCGGGCAGAACCGCCGTATCTTTATCACGGTTTTCCCAGGCGCACCGAATGGGCGACGCTGCATATGCTGACGCAACGCTGTAGAAGTTCCCAACATTGGCCCCCCTGGCCACGCTTTGACTTTCTGGCCACATCAGTCGACATAAGGCTACGTTTTACATCCTCGGGGCGGCATGATGAAAAAATTGCCAGTCACAAGCGCCGATGTAGGAAACATTTGTCCCCCGCACTTCCCTCACTTGGGCTGGACATGCTACTTCCTCCGTGCACACCAGGCACCACTACTGTCCGTTGGTGGTAGGCTGCAGTGGAGCTGGTGCTCTTACTCCGTGTGACCGTATTGCCTCCGAACTGACACATGCTGCGACCACACCTGCTTCGCCATCCTGGGCAACAACCCACCGACTGTTTTGCTCGCTGGCATGCTGGCAACCCTCTTCTCCTGGATCGACATGCTGAAGCAATAGCCTGATGTCGACGAGGCTGAGCCAAGTAGCGATCGCCTCATCATCATCAATTAGTTGCGGTCTCCATCGCGTCCACTACTAGCCCCCTCAGCCTGGCGTGTGGATGGTCATGAGTACAGACCTGTCTCTAGAAAGGCTACCGAGGGCCACTCTCCTCGCTCTGTACAGTCTTCGCCTGGCTTGCTGAAGAGAAGGCGGAATGTCTCCCCCCGTTACCTGACCGGGCCCTCACTGTTAGCTCGTTCCTCACTGCGTACAGTGGTGGCTTGAGCCCACAGCATTGCCGATACTGCTATCGCTAGGTGAGGGAACTCCAAAGGGACAGGGGCAGGTTCGGAGGGGACACGTGATTATATCAGTGGGCTTGCTTGTGCTCCTGGGCCATGCCAACTAACGGTTGTGTAGTCTGACGTACCCACCGGACCGGTGTGGCTTGTAGGTGTCCGGAGGTGACCTGGGAAGGAGGAAACGACGGACGATGTCATCCAATCGATGACGGCAGGGTTGTCGGTTGGACACACACGACCGCTGGAGTCGACACGGGGAGCACTGGCCTCTGGCAGACGACTAGTAGCTGCACGCGACCCCTTCCTCTGGCTGCCACGTCCTGCTCGCCACACCCTGAAAACATAGCCTCCTCAGCCACTCCTCTGGCGTGATAGTCTGAACATACTCTTTAATTCAATGAAGCACCCCAAAAATAAAAACCGGATTTAACGTCTTTGAATGTACAATAGTGGTTGAGAGAAGCGCATAAAGGTCAGTTTAATTTAGCACAACTCGCTGTCAATTGCAGCTTGCCGTTGGGCTGTAAACTGTAACGTTTATGTATGTACTGGAGAATGCCCTAATTCATCCCAAAAAAATAATTACGCCACCTATCCGGCGTGTATATGGATTTAAACCTCTATCTGAACGTACCCTAGTGGTTGTGAAGCAGGAGAAGTCAGTTTTATTGTACACAACTCGGGTTCAATTGCAGCATGCCGTTGGCGTGGACAAACCTGTACGTTATATGTCACATGGAATGCACTAAGATTCACCCAAACAATATTACCGCCTAAGCCGGCGGTGTAAAATGGATTTAAACTCTTTGAAGTGTACGAATAGTGCGTTGTGAAGCAGAAGAAAGTCAGTTTATTAAGCACAATCGGACGAATGGCGAGTCTTGCCGATGGATGGCCTGGACAACTGTTCGCTTTATGTCACTGGATATTGATCACTCAAATCACCCAAAAAATACACAACCTAGACCAGCCTCTGGGGGCTCTCAATGGAATATTTAACTTCTTTGAACGGTACAATAGAGTGGATGTGAAGCAGAAAGTTACATTGTTTATGTAGCACAAAACTCGTGTCAATTTGCAGCTTTGCCAGTTGGCTCGAAACCTGTACGTTTATGTCCACTGCAGGACATGCACTTAATTCACACCAAAAAAGAGAAATATATTCCTGCCATCAGACTACGCTGACGTTGTATATTGGGATCTAGAACTCTTTGAACGTTACAAAAGTGGTTGTGAAGCAGAAAGTAAGTTAGTTAGCACAATACGGTCAATTGCAGCTTGCCGTTATGGCTTGGAAAACTGTACGTTTAGGTCACTGGAATGCACTAATCACGCCAAGAAAATATTACCGCCATCCCGGACGTGTAAAATGGTTTTAACTCTTCTTGAACGTTACAATTGTGGTTGTGAAGCAGATCGTCAGTTTATTAATCACAATCTTGTCAATTGAGCAGCTTGCCGTTGGCTGGAAACTGTACGTTATGGTCAACTGGAAATGCTCTAATCACCTCCAAAACATATTACCGCTTGCGGCCGCCCAGCCGGCGTGTCAAATTGGATTTAAACTCTAGTTGAACGTACAATTATGTGGTTGTGACAGCAGACAAAGTCAGGTTTATATAGCACAATCGGGTCAATTGCAAGCTTGCCGTTGGCTGGAAACTGTACTTTATGTCACACGTGGAATGCACTAATCACCCAACAAAAATATTACCTCTACGCCACCCGAACGGCGTGTAAATGGATCTATTTAACTCTTTGAACGTACAATAGTGGTTGTGAAGCAGAAAGTCAGTTTATTATAGCACAATCGGTCAATTGCAGCTTGCCGTTGGCTGGAAACTGTACGTTTGTGTCACTGGAGATGCACTAATCACCCAAAAAATATATTACCGCCAGCTCCGGCGTGTAAATGGATCTAACTCTTTGAAACGTACAATAGTGAGTTGTGAAGCAGAAAGTCAGTTTATTTTGTCACAATCGGCAAACTGCAGCACCAACTGTGCCACGACAGCCACCAAAAAAAAAAGGGTGTATGTCACTTTAAATTTTTGATTCTTTGATAGCTGTGGACCTAAGTAACGATTCTCTGTGGTCCCTGAGTAACGATTCTGTGTCCCCTGAGTACACGATTCTGTGGCCCTGAGTAACGATTCTGTGTCCCCTGAGTAACGATTCTGTGGCCCTAAAGTCTCTGTGGCCCTAACTCTGTCCCTTAATACACACAGGGTCTGTCTCTCTTGATAATGAACCTGGAGGCTAATGAGAATTCTAAGATGGCCGCGGATTTATAGCTCCAACCATTACACAG